TCCCAATGTATGAAGACTGTATACAGTAGACTGTATACAGTGACCCGTTATAATTCCGACAAGATCAGAAAGATTTTTGTGGGATAATTTCAATATTTGTGAATTTAAGGCATCATCACATTATTTAACATCAAATTAACAATTTTTTTAAATCATTTTTCACAAATTAATTTTTGACGCTCAAAAGCGTTTTTATTTAGACGTTATAATAAATTACATTCGAGAGTATAATCAAAGCTTCTTTTGAAAATAATTTAGATTTATTTATAGCTAGCATAAGGATATTTACGACTTAACCATACAAATAAAAAAGAAGTAGGAAGCAATCCGTGTAATTAATAAATCAGTTCGGGTCGAGGTGGGACAAGAAGGAGGATAGCAGTCGAATAACTCAAAACGGCGAAAATAAAACGCCAACAGCAGTACACGGGCAGATCGGGTCGTTGGGAACTTCTAAATTATTTTGTTTGTGTCCTTATGTGTACGCCAACTACAGAATGGTGTATAATAAACGGGTCCGGTAGTAAATTGGAAAGGCAACTTTTAAATCTTTTAAATACATTTACCGGCAAAAAATACCGGACACCAAAAATTGGCAAAAATTTTAATGTTGACTTCCTCGCAAACCGCTCATTTAATTTTTATGATTTTTTTTAATGTAGGTTGACCTTTTAGTAACGATGCTGTAGTAGACATATTTATTTTAATTTTAGCATATACAGGGTGCAAAAGTAAGAAGAAGGTTTCTTCCTGAAATTTGTGACACCCTGTAGGGTGCATCAGGAATAACAGCTGATGTCAATTATACTAGAGTTCTATCTTTTTTAACAATTTGTTTTTTTCTTTTGTAAATAACAAATACCTATACACTGTTTTAAAGCGAACTCTTTAGATAAAGTGTTCGCTAACCGCTCATCTTAGATGTTGGATTGTACGAGCAACAACATGAGATGTTAATTAGAATTTTACTGTAGGGCTATTTCAGGCATGCGGACGGAACAAATCATAAAACTGTTAAAAAAATGCTAGGTAATTTATTATATAATATTTTGTCATCAAAATTGTCAAACATATTCTTCTTTTATTAGGCTATACATTAAACAAAAAAAAACGCAAGAAATATTTTATAAAAGTAGAGATAATATTGATTATTGACAGGTGTGGACGGGACAAGATAAATCTTTTTTTTGTCCCGTCCACACCTTTTAATTATTACAGTTAGTTATCTCTAATTTTATAAAATATTTCTTGCGTTTTTTATTAAATAAAAGAAAAGATGCCAAAATATTATATAATAAATTAACTACAATTTTTTTTATAAAAACAGTATTGTAATTCGTGCGTTTCGCGCGCATAAAATGGCCCTGTAGACCAGTGGTTTCCAAAATATTTAAGAAAAACTATCAAACTGTCAAAATGTGTATTTAAAATATTTTTTCAAAATTTTCAGAAATAACGAAGATATATCGATTTTTGGTTTTGACAGGATTTCAATGTTCGTAGACCACAGACAAAATCAGTGTTCTAAAAAATAGACAGAATCGTAACTCTGTGCACACTTATTCCTTTAAGGAGTTTCCAAAAAAACATTTTTTCTACTCCCACCTTTAAAACGCCCTTTATCGTACATGTTTCCATTACACTTAGTGACCTTTTAAATACACATTGACAAATTGTGGCTTTACGGCGCTTTAGTCACGGGCTGAAGTTAGCAACAGGTTTTTAGTCACGGGTTGAATTTAGTTTTAAGTTAGTTGACAGTTGTCAAATGTCATACAATCGTTAAAATAAAGTGCCTTTCTTGAAAAATAATACTAAATGTGAAAATTATTTTATTATCTCAATACAAAAATATTAAATATTTTCTCAACGCCAATATTTGAAAAGTTTATATGAACATTGTACTGACCTTTTAATTTCGCCGGCAGTAAACTATAACTTAAATTCGGGCACGGACTCTACTGTAAAGTCCTCATAAAACATTTCCTTTACTTTCACTGTGAAATACTGTCAATTTTCAAGATACATTTCGATTTATAACCTTTATAATTGTGTTTATAAAATGTAAAAATGTGACATTTGACAGTTTCCCATGTTGTTTCATAGATGGCGCTCTATACAAATTTATGATTTAAATCATTTTAAGATAAAAATAAGTATTTGTATGCACCTCGTTTATAAACTTTTCTATACACTCATTAACTTAAGCACTCGCTCGCAAGCTCGCTCGTACCTAAATTAAATTCGTGTATAAAATGGCGTTTATTAAACTTGATACATAATATACTATTGTGTGAGTTTATTATAAAAATGACACAATTATACAATGCTGCACGGCGCACAGTGTTTCAATTCTTGAAATTTTCGGCAAAATATCAAGGAGTAGTCGGATTCTCCTAAAAATCTGTATATAGAGGTTTTTGGGGTCAGAATTCCAAAATTCAAAATGGTAGATCCAAAATGGCGGACATTTTTGTCAAAAAATTGACGGAATTAATTGAAAATCACCATACAGGGGTTTTTGTGGTCGCTGATAATGAATCTGGAATCAGAATTCCAAAATTCAAAATGGTGAACCTCAAATGGCGGACATTTTTATCAAATATTGTCGAAATTAATTAAAAACCCGTAAGATGTTCTTTTTAAAATGTAATAAAACATCTTTTTCTAAAATAGCTCAATTAAGTTTATTATAATTACATTTACATGATATTATTTAATAGTTACATATATATTAAACAATCTCCGTCACTGTATTCGCTCGTTGTATCATTAGCAGAGCATGGGAAGCCATCAGAAGATAGCAACAGTTTTATTGCTTCGCGGGACAAAGATTTGCTCCTTTTCGGAGCAATTTTTCTAAAGCTAGAAATATATGGATCGGAAGATGCCATAAGCCAATGGAAAACATCATCCATCGTTTTCTCCCGAGAAACTTCGCAACTGAAAGCGTCAAGTTTAAACTGATGTACAAGACAAAATATACGTATTTTATATAATTTTTTTTCAATACAGGATGGAGACAGGTATTAACTACCCATATAACTTAAAATTTACCTGAAAAAAAATGTAAATTTTGGAGGTTTTGCCGATATTTTCGAGAATAGGTTTAAGTCAAATAAAAATAACGCCAAAAACTGATTGCAGTTTCTTGTTCGGGACCCTTTGGTGACTTAAAAATGATATTTACCAAAATCCTAGCTGCTCCTCTTCTCGAATTTTTTTTGGAAATTCATGATTTTTTTTTTTAATTTTTTGTAGATTAATCTTTTTTGTGCTTTCTACTATATAAAAAAGTGATTTTTGGCTAACCCTGTATAAATCTAATGATGTGCTTAGTATAAAAACTGTATTCTCGTCTTGTTAACAATATACTATATTGATTTTTTTACAAATTTCAAAAAAAGCAGCATGAATTTACGCTTTTGCTTTATTAAAAATAAGTGATTTTTGGCTACCCTTTTCAAAGAAATAATAAAAATTTAAAATGATATAAATTCTGTATTATTTGGATTTTTTAAATAAAATTTGAAATTTGTCGATTTACTATGGTAAATAATAAATTGCACTAATTAAATTTATATTATATTTATTTGGGGAGCCATGGGGCCGGTACGGCCCAGCAAAAAGTTATCTTTTTTTCGCAAAGTTCAATTTAAATTCTGCTTGCGCAGAACTTGTTTATTTAATGTCATTATAAACTCAACAAATTTGATGTGGGTCCCATATCTAATAATTGAGATATCGGTATACCCAAAATCCACCAGCCGCCACTGAATCCAGTATTAACGGTATAAATGCATGCCTTTAATTTGTTATGGGATGCTTTTTAATTTAGTAGATTGCGGTGGAATTTAGCGTAATTAATGAGTGTTTGACTGTAATGTTTTACTATGATACAATTATTATTTTAGTTGGCGATTAGGATAAACTTTTCAAATTCTCATTATTCTTTTTAATAAAATTATAATTTATATTATTGGAATTAAAATTGAATGGGAAAATATAAAAAATGTCAAAACGTGAGGGTATGCAATGCATGCATGTATGCTTTCATTGCATGCACGCCACTGCAAAATAGATTAATAATCATTAAAAACCAAATCAAAATTTAAAAAGGCTATTTTTTTAATACAGCATAACTCTACTTACTAATCCCAATCCTAATACAGATTTAATAAAAGGCAAAATTCAAGTAACGTTAAATTAAGGAAAGTGATTTTAAAATAAACTTGCCTTAAATTAAACAACAGAAACCATGCTTCTTACGCTTTAATTTTAAATAATTGAAAATTTGAAAATATGTATATGGTTTGACAATCATACATCATAATAAAAATAGCATGTCGGTCGGTCAGTTTCTCTAAAATAATTTTCCATTCCAAAACCTCAAACCTATTTTAAGAAGCGTAGCTTCAAAAAATATATCTCGATCTGTTCGGAAACGGGGTAAATATTATTTTGGATAATTGTAAATTGCGCATATTTAAAGGAAAAATATATAAAAACATACATTGGGCATTAAAAATGTTAAAAAATAATATTGTTTTAAATTGAAACATAAACTTCTAAGGTATAAATATGGAAATAGTTAAATTTAGTTATTCTACGACTTGTACCCTTTTATTATGTAAGTAAGGCGCTTATTCTTATTCTATGATTTATTTATCCCAAAAAGTGGAATAAAGGGTTTGGTAAAATATATTTTTACGATTTATCAAAATTAACGATATGCAGATTTTAACAGTTTATTTTATCAAAATTTACGATAGGCACCCTGTATATTTATTAGTTTAAGTTTTAAAATTTAGAGTATACCTACTGTATATAAAATATAAATAACCTGGACCAGTTGCAAAAAACTGTCCAAAAAACAAGGCAGTTTCATAGAGCTCCGGCTAAATAATGAGGTGTATGGTTTTTGTTCGCTAATGCATTTACATCCATCGGCTGGGTCCATTTATCTGCAGATGCTTGATGGTGGTTTTGTTTTGTTTCAGTTCTGGGCGGCGTACGTCCCCTGCGACTCCCAGTACAAGGATGCGGTCCAGCTAACATTAGAACAAATTGACGTGATCAGGAGATTCACTGAGCTCTACCATCCGAGACTGACGCTCTGTACGTCGTCCGAAGGTAATCAACGTTATTTTTATTTAATTGACTACACATTTAGCTTTGTTCTTTTCTGAATTAATGCGTGATTTTATTTGAGTAAATTTTGAGGTGGCCTTGTTTTAATTATATTTATTTTTGGTTTAAATATTAAATAAAATATTTGGACAAAATATAAGATTAAATTAAAATTACTTTAACGATTTCCTATATAGTTGTTTATCCGTGTATAATAATCAAAGACCGGATTTTAGGCCCTTAAAAATTGGAAATTAGGCAGCGCCGGATTTAGGGGGGGTCTTTGGGGGTCTATAGACCCGGGGCGCAAGCTTACAGGGGGCGCAAAATTTTTGACTGGTAATTTTTGTTTTTTACTACAACCTAAAGGGTTTTCCCCTTTTTTATTTTTCGTGTATTAATCAGTTTTAATAAAAAAATTATTTAAATTATAACCGTGATTGTTGCCATAGTATTATTATCTATGCATAGTATACGAAATACGTATTACGTAGGGCGCCCGACAAGTTGTTGGGCGACAAGAACTTTAGTTTGCAGAAATTGATTATTTCCACCGATGCGATTCGTATGGGCGTAAAGGTTTTTTAATATAAGAATATTTTATTACACTACGAACAACTATTAATTTAAATTAGTTTAAAACTATAGTTATATACAGTACCAGTCATATATATATGTATGTATATATACAGTATAGGACCTATACTATACTATAGGTATTAGCCTATTGAAAGATGACATCAATATTGCGATAAACAAATTTGCTTCTCTAAAAGCACGCAAAGTTGAATTGGCAAAATGTTAATTTTCTTATTTAGGTATTTGTTTTTTATATAGTTTTTGTTTATGTTTTTAGGGTGGAAATATTTTTTCGACATTTTTTTTTATTTCGGAGCTCACATGAAACAATTTAAGTTAATATTGCGATAAACAAATTTGCTTCTCTAAAAGCACGCAAAGTTGAATTGGCAAAATGTTAATTTTCTTATTTAGGTATTTGTTTTTTATATAGTTTTTGTTTATGTTTTTAGGGTGGAAATATTTTTTCGACATTTTTTTTTATTTCGGAGCTCACATGAAACAATTTAAGTTTAAAGTATTCAAGTTTTAACTCAAAAAAAAATAAACGTCGCTCAAAAAAATCAACTAAATTGGAAAAATAGTAGTGGTTACAAGATCAAAATTATTAAAAAAATCAAGAAATGTATTTCAAAAATATTGAGCGACCAATAATATTTTGACTTAAAAATGTATTATGTTCCTATACGACCTACAAAAAAAATAGTGAGAAGCCAAAGATTTTGAGAAAAAAGGTTGGTTTAAAAAAGTTTTGAGCGACGTCTAAAATTTTTTTATCTGTTGAAACTCAAATACTTATTTTTTTTTATTTGATCTCCAAAATCAAAAAATTTTTGAAAAAATACTACCCTAATGTTTATGGTTAAATAAAATCCTTTTGTTAAGAAGTGACATTTCTTTGAATTTATTATATAGGTAGGGGCGGAAAATTTTTATTAGACCCGGGGCGCAAATTTTTATAATCCGGCGCTGAAATTAGGACACATAAATAGGCAATAAAAACCTACATTTTAGGCCGTTTTGGACCAAAAGTGCCAACCGCATAAAATAGGCGATATGAAATAAAAACAACACGATTGAACATAACATTTATTCAGGTCCTTTCAATAAAAATAATAACACAAACTCTTGGAAACAATTGCCCGTATGAATAAAGTATGGAACGCCGTTGTATTTTTTAATCAGGAATTTTTGTTGCAACTCCAACTGCTAGTCATATTTTTAATTGTATCGATTATTTTAAACAATATTTATAACTCAACTAATTTTATACTCAAAAATAATGTGGAATTAAAAATATCAAAGTGTCACTAAAATTAAAGTAAATTTTTAATTCAAAGTGATATTTGTAATTTACAGGAATTATCGATATCAAAGTGACCAGAAAATTCAAGTTAATTTTTAATTCAAACTGATATTCATAATTCGCATGAATTATAAATATCAACTTGAATTTTTAATTCAACTTATTTTCAACTAAAAAATGATGTAGAATTTAAATATTAAAGGGAAACTAAGAATTATTTGATATTTTTAAATGAAAGACATATTTTTAATTCCCACAGTTTGGACACCCCTGGTAATGTTGACGGTTCAATTTATCTACTACAGTAGGTATATTTGCTTTAATCTCAGTTAAATTATTTTGCGGCACTGTTTGTTTATATAATACCGTTTTTATTAATAATACACTGAAAGAAATTTGTTGCTAAAAGTAAATACAAATTTATACTAAAAATTTTATACTAGTGCTTTACACATTTATACTACTGTTTATTATGAATGTATGGTAAATTTTGTAATACATTTATTGTAAAGAAGATATGTTAGATCTAAATAAAAATAAACGTACCCTTACTATAAAATGTAAACTATAAGTGAATTACAGCAAAAAAATATTGCTAGAAACACCATTTATATTGCTAGGGCAGCAATAGGCTGCTAACCAAACGAATATATTTGTTTTAGCAATGTATGTGGTAGTCTATATATGAAACATAAAATATATTTGCCCTAATTATTTTTTTATTTAACTTTAGTATATATTTCTTTCAGTGTAGGCATAATAATTAATAATAATTAAATTACCTAATATTTTAAATATTATTTTGCGGCACTGTTTGTTTATATAATACCGTTTTTATTAATAATAGGCATAATAATTAATAATAATTAAATTACCTAATATTTTAAATATTTACACAGGTATTCTCATAAATCGTTAAGTAGGTCAACTGAGTCAGTTGAACTACTACAAATTTGACAATCCGAGAATTTCCCGCCGGGAAACCTAACCTTCTTTATCTCCCTAGATAAATCTATCTAGGTTTATCTCTGCCGGGAACGAACCTAAAATTGTTGGTATATTTACTACATAGGTAAGTATTAATAAAAACGTTATTATATAAACAAAAATAGTGCCGCAAAATAATTGAACTGAGATTAAAGCAAATATACCTACTGTAGTAGATAAATTGAACCGTCAACATTACCAGGGGTGTCCAAACTGTGGGAATTAAAAATATGTCTTTCATTTAAAAATATCAAATAATTCTTAGTTTCCCTTTAATATTTAAATTCTACATCATTTTTTAGTTGAAAATAAGTTGAATTAAAAATTCAAGTTGATATTTATAATTCATGCGAATTATGAATAACAGTTTGAATTAAAAATTAACTTGAATTTTCTGGTCACTTTGATATCGATAATTCCTGTGAATTACAAATATCACTTTGAATTAAAAATTGACTTTAATTTTAGGGTCACTTTGATATTTTTAATTCCACATTATTTTTGAGTTTAAAATTAGTTGAATTATAAATATTGTTTAAAACAGTTGACACAATTAATTGTAATTACAAATATGACAATTAGTTAAAGTTACAACAAAAATTCCTTATTAAAAAATATTTTGGCGTTAACGGAACGCCAAAGTACTTTTTAATACCTATAATTTTAGATATCTGAAATTAATTTCAGATATCTGAAATTCAAAAGTGATATAAGAAATTCCTGATTAAAAAATACAACGGCGTTCCATAATAAAGAAAAGGAAAACCTTACTTGTAAAATTTAAAACAAATCTTTATATTAGGGTGGCCCAAAAAAAAAAGAATATCTTTTTTTTTCTCGTCTCTTGTAAAAATATGTTAGTTTATCATGCTGTAAGAGCCCTGTTAAAATATCAGCTCGATTAAAAAAATTTTAGGGGTCGCTCAAGATTTTTTAAAATTTTCAAAATCGTCAAAAATTGAATTTTTGTTTTATTTTATTTTTTTTTCTTTTCTCGATATTATTTTTTTGGTGGAAAATAATAAAAATTTTGAAAATATCAAATCAATATTTTAATTTCTAAAGGTCGCTAAAAGTTCGTTGGTATTTATATTCAGAGGGCTCGAAAAATTCAAAATACTCTACTTTGAAAGTTAAAAAAATCTTGAGCGACCTTTAGAAATCAAAATATCCATTTGAAATTTTCAGAATCATTATTATTTTTAAATTAAAAAATAATATCGGAACGAGAAAAAAAAATAAAATAAAAAAAAGTCCAATTTTTGACGATATTGGAAATTTTTAAAAATCTTGAGCGACCCCTAAAAATTTTTTAATGGAGCTGATCTGTTGACAGGGCTCTTAAAACATGACAAACCAACATATTTTCACAAGAGACAAGAGAAAAAAAATATTCTTATTTTTTTGGGCCACCCTAATATATATATATATATATATATATATATATATATATATATATATATATATATATATATTGGAATAAACAGGCGACGCTGAACAAAAAATATAAACAAAAACAAACAAAAGCATGATACGTTGATTCCAACAGTTGTCAAGGTTGTCTTTAGCCATCTATTGTCTTTATAGAAAAACTATTTACCACCTCGCGACAAATTGTATTACTAAATACTGTTAAAAAGTCTGAAATTACCATATACATATATGGTAAAACCTATGAAAACAAAGTAAATAATAATTTTCAACCATTATTTTACAAACTTAATATTATCCATAATATTTATAATAAATACTTAGATATCAAAATCACAATTACTTTTTTTATCAGGTTTTCACTAGTTTTGTAATTTGTGGTCCTCGTACTCGCCAAGGGCGTCTAGGCGAAATAAGAGCATGAAGGCAGGGTCTAATTAAAAATAATTTACTTTTCCACATTGAAAAATATATTTTTTACTAAAAATTTAAAGAGCCTATTTTAGGCTCATAAAAATGTCCTTTTAGGACAATAAATCAAAATTTCGCCATTTTAGGCTTTTAGGCAAAAAACGAAGGGGTGTCAAACGCTTTATTTTTTTATGTTTAGGATTAATTTCAAGGTCCCAAACAAATGCCTAAAATAGAAACAAAAAGGAATTTTGCCTAAAATCCGGTCCTTGATAATAATTATTGATGC